TGAATGGGAAGTGAAGAAATTCCCATAACGCTGAAAGAATTACGGGCAGTGAGAAGTCCACGCATGTCAATCCGTATTCCGGAAGGCGTTCGGGGAAGATGGTTGCGTAGGGAGGCGGAGGCCTGATGAGTCGGGTTCCCAGAAGGCCTTTGGGAAACATGACTTTTGGGGCATCTTGGGGAACCTGTTGGGGCGTGCCGTCGTCGTCGTCGTAATGTCGTCGCCGCCACCGCCGTCGTCGACGACGACGACCGCGAGGACGACGACGGCGCAGAACCTCGGCCCCTGTGCTTCTGGACCCCCTCTGGAGGACCTCCTCACCCCCTCCGTAGAACAGGCTGAAGCCGATCAGTAAGTCACAAACTCGGGCCCCAACGTACGGAGAAGCCAGACCACATCCTGGGTGCTACAATACGGCTCAAAAAAAAACTTGAGGCAACTTTGTGCGAAACGATCCGCGGAGGGCCGCGAGAAGGCGATCAGCCATGTTCTCGGTCAACTTCCCTGACAGCTCTCTGGTAGCGTCATGGTACTTCAGAGCCTCTGGAGACTCTCGGGCCCATGATGAACCGTGTCCCTAGAAGGCTTTCGGGGGACATGACTTGTTAGGGTTATGTTGCGGGGCCTTTTGGGCGTTCCTCGGGGGCCCCTTGGGGGCCTCACAGGGCTTCCTGGGGGCCTCTTGTGGGCCTCACAGGGCTTCTTGGGAGCCTTTTGGTGGCTTCCGGCGGCCTACTGGGGGCCTCTAGGGCCAAAGAACTCGAAATATCGGTTCGTGGTCCCCCTCTCGGCCCCCTCTTGGGCCGTTCTTGGGGCACATGTTGGTTGTCTGGTGAGCTTCCTGGGCCGTCTTGGGGCCATCTTCGAGGCCTCGTGGGCCATCTTGGAGCGATCTGAAGGGCCTCCGAGGCCGTGCGGGAGCGTTGGGAAGCGGGAAAAGCGAGAACGGCAAAATCCTTCCAAAAAAAAACCGGAAAATGAATGAAGTGTGCCTCCCAGGGTCCTCTTGGGGAGCCTTTTGAGGCCGTCCTGGAGCGTGTTGGAATCTTCGTCGGCCGTCTTGAGGGTATCTTGGGCGTCTTCGGGGCCACTTGGGACCGTCTTGGACCCTCTTGGGGCCCCCATTGGCCTGTCGTGGCCCTTTTCGGGGCGGGCCCGGGCCGTCTGGGGAGCTCTGGGACCCCCCAGAAGTCGCAGAGGGCGCCCCCCCGGCCTATGATTATACACATTTGTACATATACAGTTACATATACATATACATATGCATATACATAAACATATACATATACATATACATATACATATACATAAACATATACAAATACATATACATATACATATACATATACATATACATATACATATACATATACATATACATATACATATACATATACATATACATATACATATACATATACATATGCATATACATATGCATATACATATACATATACATATACATATACATATACATATACATATACATATACATATACATATACATATACATATACATATACATATACATATGCATATACATACATATACATATACATGTACACATACATATACATATACATATACCTATACATATATATGTATGTGTATGCAGGTGTACATAAATCGATATGCCTATATGCATATATGTATGCCTAGACATCTATATATATATACATATACATATACAAATGCACACACATGAACATACACATATACATATACATATACATATACATATACATATACATATACAAAAACATATACATATACATATACATATACACATACATATACGTGTATATATTTATACATATACATATACATAAACATATAAATATACCTACACATACACATACACATACACATATACATATACATGTACATATACATAAACATGTGCATGCACATGTACATGCACATATACATATACATATACATATACCTATACATAGACATATACATACACATATACATATACATATACATATACAAATGCATGCACACATGCATATACAAATACGTATACCTATACACAAATGTATATACGTATACATAAACATATACATGTACATATACATATACATGTACGTGGAAATGTACATATACATATACATGTACACATACATATACATATATATATGTATATATACACGTACACGTATACCTGTACATATTCATAAACATATACATACATACACACATACATGCATGTGTATATATTCATATATATACATGTGTATGTCGTTATGTGCATACATAAATACATACATGCATGCATCCATACATACATGCAGACATCTATATATATATACACACATACACACATACAGATCGACATACATATATACAGACATGCATGCACACATACATATATGCATACATGCCTACATACATGCATACATGCATGTCTACATACGTACATATAGCCATTCAACGATAGCTGTGTATATCTACTTACATATATCGTGCATTATGTGGTGTGAGCTATAGCGGCGCAATCTATGCCGTACAAGTAAGTGTTGTT